TTTTTTTGGCAGTAATGGCTCAGGAGATTTTGAAGGACAAGATAGCATGTTTGTGCAATGCTGAAAGGTGTTCAGCTACCTGCAGATTTTCTTCTCCAATGAAGAAGATTTTCTTTTCTTTTTTTAACTTCCTTCTTAGGGGCTTTAGAACTGAGTTGGGATTTGTTTTATTTTTTTAGTGCAAGCCCAGAAATTATCTCACAGCGGTGAGCTGAATGCCAGAACTACGTGTGTGTTCCTCTTTTCAATACATCTTCTTCTCACTTAGACTCCCAAGCCACCTGTTCTTTTTAGAGAACTCACTTCATGATCTCCTCCCGTCGATTTGAATGGGGACTGAACCGTCTAATCCCTTTTTAAAACCTTATCAGACACAAGGGCTGTCATCACATTCTGTGGCAGCAAATCCCATTAACCAAGTTCTTTGTTGCGGGAAGACAATCCTTTGTTCTAATCAAGTTCGCTCCAGCCCTCCTGAGTGGAGTCAAAGACAACTTACCTCTGCAGTTTGAGGGTGGGCAACCTATGGAGTGGAAGGACCCCTTCAAGCCGTTGAGCAATGCAAATTCAGTCCAATTAGCATTTTTGTTTTTTTCTCAGGGGGCCTTTCCTTTGCTTTCCTTAACTCAGTTAAGCTTTTTTTGTTGCTGTTGTTGAAGAATTACGTTATAGTTTTCATGAGGAGTCCTTGGTGCTCTCTGAACTGGTTGTTTTCTTGCAGATGTTTCATTAATAATAATAATAATAATAATAATAATAATAATAATAATAATAATAATAATAAACTTTTCCCAAACTAGCTAACATTATCAGTGCTAGTGACATGCTAGCACTCTGAACTGGTTGTTTTCTTGCAGACGTTTCATTAATAATAATAAACTTTACCCAAACTAGCTAACATTATCAGTGCTAGTGACATGCTAGCACCCTGAACTGGTTGTTTTCTTGCAGATGTTTATTATTATTATTATTATTATTTTATTATTATTTATTATTATTAATAATAATAATAAACTTTACCCAAACTAGCTAACATTATCAGTGCTAGTGACATGCTAGCACCCTGAACTGGTTGTTTTCTTGCAGATGTTTTATTATTATTATTTTATTATTATTTATTATTATTATTATTAATAATAATAATAATAATAATAAACTTTACCCAAACTAGCTAACATTATCAGTGCTAGTGATATGCTAGCACTCTGAACTGGTTGTTTTCTTGCAGACGTTTTATTATTATTATTATTATTATTATTATTAATAATAATAATAATAATAAACTTTACCCAAACTAGGTAACATTATCAGTGCTAGTGACATGCTAGCACTGATGATGTTACCTAGTTTGGGATAATGAAACATCTGCAAGAAAACAATCCAGCCCAGAGAGCACCAAGGACCCCTCACGTCAACTCTGAGCTACAAATATTCTCCTTTATTGGTACTATAGTTTTCACACTTCTGGCCCTAAAATGGTTGGAAACCCTGATCCTTGAGGTTGAAAGAACCAATGGGGTAAAAGGGGCGCTAAATATTTTTCTCTTCTTGAAGTGTAAATGCAACAATTTCCTTGGAAAATTAAAGAAACCTGAAAAAGGGGCAAATCTGAAAGAAGTTCATGAGCACTTTTTTTTAATTGCTTAGGTTAATACATAGGAAAGTTCAAGAGCAAAATCAAGATAATAAATAATTAAATCACATCTATCTAAAGGACAGTGTTGTGAAACAAAGGACTGTTTTTTATAATAAAGGACGTATAGTCTCTGTACATTTAACGTAAGTAAATCTACTGAACGCAGGTTGATCTCGATTTACGACAGATAATGAAGCCTGCCCATTACAGTCATACATTAAGTCAGTCAAAAGTCGTATTGGTCATAAAACAGGTTGGTCATGGGACTCGACTCAATTTTATGACCTTTTTTCAGTGGTCATGAAGCGAATGCCACGCTGATTAAGTAAACTCATCGTGCGTTTACTTAAACAAGAAGCGTGCCAGTTTTTCAACAAAACTCAGGTAAAATTCAGTCATGTGACCACAGGATGCTAGAAAGGGCGATAGGCATGGTTGTGTGCTCAAAGGGTAGTCACATAACCATGGGAGGCATGTTTGACTGTCGGAGCTTCAGATCTGGGTGATAAGTCTCCTTTTGGGGTCCTTCGTAACTTCCGACGATCACTCAGTGACCTTTCATAAGTAATAGTAATAGTAGTAAAGTTGGAAGGGACCTTGGAGGTCATCTAGTCCAACCCCCTGCTCGGGCAGGAAACCCTACACCATTTCGGACAAATGGCTGTCCAGTCTCTTCTTAAAAACTTCCAGTGTTGGAGCATTTACTGCTTCTGGAGGCAAGCTGTTCCACTGATTAATTGTTCTCACTGTCAGGAAGTTTCTCCTTAGTTCTAGGTTGCTTCTCTCCTTGATTAGTTTCCACCCGTTGCTTCTTGTCCTGCCTTCAGGTGCTTTGGAAAATAGCTTAATTCCCTCTTCTTTATGGCAGCCCCTGAGATATTGGAATACTGCTATCATGTCCCCCCTTGTCCTTCTCTTCGTTAAACTAGACATACCCAATTCTAGCAACCGTTCCTTATATGTTTTAGCCTCCAGTCCCCTAATCATCTTTGTTGCTCTTCTCTGTACTCTTTCTAGAGTCTCAACATCTTTTTTACATCGTGGTGACCAAAACTGGATGCAGTATTCCAAGTGTGGCCTTACCAAGGCTTTGAAGAGTGGTATTAATACTTCACGTGATCTTGATTCTATCCCTCTGTTAATGCAACCTAGCACTGTGTTGGCCTTTTTGGCAGCTGCAGCACACTGCTGGCTCATATTTAGGTGATTGTCTACTAGGACTCCGAGGTCCCTCTCACAGTTACTACTATTGAGCATGGTGCCACCTATGCTGTACTTGTGCATTTGGTTTTTCTTGCCTAAATGTAGAACCTTGCTTTTTTCACCATTGAATTTCATTTTGTTAGATAGTGCCCAATGTTCAAGTCTGCCAAGATCCTTCTGTATCTTAAGCCTGTCTTCTGGAGTGTTGGCTATTCCTGCCAGCTTGGTGTCATCTGCAAATTTGATGAGTTCCCCATCTATCCCTTCATCCAATTCGTTGATGAAGATGTTGAAGAGCACTGGGCCCAGAACAGAGCCCTGGGGCACCCCACTAAACACTTCCCTCCATATAGATGCAGTCAAGGACTACCTATAACTAGCCCTGAGTACTGCAGGTTTTTCTGCCAATGCATGGAAGAGACGAATGGGGTACACTGTGTGGAGGCTATCCCACTCGTGTCCCGCAAAGGGGGAGACACAGTATTCTTCTCTAGATGATAACATGAGCCCAAAATTTCTGTTGTTAAGGGAAATGTTTGTTAAGTGAATTTTGCCCCATTTTATGACTTTCCTTGCCACAGTTATTAAGTGAACCACTGCAGCTGATAAGTTAGTAACCCGGTTTTGAAGTAAATCTGGCTTTCCCCATTGATTTTGCTTGTCAGGAGGTCGCAAAAGGGGATCCCGTGACCTTGGGACACGGCAACTGGTCATAAATGTGAACCAGCTGCCAAGCATCTGAACTTTGATCACGTGATCATGGGGATGATGCGTATGGAAAAAATGGTCATATGTCACATTTTTGAGAGCCGTTGTAACTCTGAATGGTCACTAAATGAACTGTTATAAGTTGTAAGAATACTACCTGTGTTCACAACAGAGAAGAACTCTTAGATGTAGCTGTTAGACCCCACCCGGAGGGAGTCAGGGCACAGCAGAGAGGAAGGAGGTGCCGATGTGTCATGTCGAGATGTTGAAGAGCAACAAAGATGACTAGAGGGCTGGAGGCTAAAACATATGAAGAACCGTTGCAGTCAAGCTATTCTCCAAAGCGCCTGAAGCAGGACAAGAAGCAACGGATGGAAACTAATCAAGGAGAGAAGCAGCCTAGAACTAAGGAGAAACTTCCTGACAGTGAGAACACTTAACCAGTGGAACAACCTGCCTCCAAAAGTGGTGAATGCTCCAACACTGGAAGTTTTTAAGAGGAGACTGGACGGCCATCTGTCTGAAATGATATAGGGTTTCCTGCCTGAGCAGGGAGTTGGACTAGATGACCTCCAAGGTCCCTTCCAACTTTATTATTATTTAGGAATTCGATACGTTCAGTCTAGTGAAAAGAAGGACTAAAGGTGGCAAGGTAGCAGTGTTCCCATATCAAAGGGGCTACCACATAGAAAAAAGGGTCAAGCTATTCTCCAAAGCGCCTGAAGGCAGGACAAGAAGCAAGGGATGGAAACTAATCAAGGAGAGAAGCAGCCTAGAATTAAGGAGAAACTTCATGACAGTGAGAGCAATCAACTGGAAAGAGTACAGAGAAGAGCAACAAAGATGATCAGGGGACTGGAGGCTAAAACATATAAGGAAAGGCTGCTGGAATTGAGTATGTCTAGTTTAACGAAGAGAAGGACAAGGGGGGACATGATAACAGTGTTCCAATATCTCAGGGCCTGCCACAAAGAAGAGGGAGTCAAGCTATTCTCCAAAGCGCCTGAAGGCAGGACAAGAAGCAATGGATGTAAACTAATCAAGGAGAGAAGCAGCCTAGAACTAAGGAGAAACTTCCTGACAGTGAGAACAATTAACCAGTGGAACAACCTGCCTCCAGAAGTTGTGGTTGCTCCATCACTGGAGGACTGGACACCCCCTTGTCTGAAATGGTACTATAAGGTCTCCTAGTGGAGCAGGGGGGTTGGACTAGAAGACCTCCAAGGTCCCTTCCAACTCTATTATTCTGACCCAAAGTTTTGGTAGATATAGGCCACCATACAAGGGAGAAGGGGGGGGGGCAGAGGAGAAGAATAAAAAAAAAGCCAGAGACTGTTGGGAGAGCAGGCCTTCCCAAGCATCCTTTTTCCTTGAATGCCAAGATGGTTATCAGCCATTCCCATTTATGATCTCATGGCAATTGTGTCAGACACTCGCTGATTCCAGACCAAGGAGGGAGTGAATGAGTTCTGTGTGTGTGTGTTTGTATGTGTGTGTTGCACACACACACACACACACATACACACACATTTGTGAGGCACATATGCTCGCTCTCACGCCAGGGCTGTTCTGAGCCAGGAAATCCGATGGCCAGAAGGTTGTCTCCACCTCTTTCCAGGGCAGACACGCCGACGAGAGAGAGAAGGAAGGAGTGAAGCGGTCCGAGAGGCAGCAGCGGGTGAATGAACGCGGCTGTCTTCTGTTCCAGCCTGAGCATCCAACTTTTTGCAAGTAAGATGGGAAACCTCCAAGGAGCGGATACTACATGGAGCACAGGGCGGGTGACAAGGAAAACCCATTTCACCGTAAAGGAGGGGACTTGCAAAGGGTCATTATGGAGATTTTTTGTTTTTGTAAAGTGATGACTTCTTCTGCACAACGGGACATGCCCCAAACTGAAAATATACTAATAAAGTGCTGGAGGATAAGAGCAAGACCCAGAGAGGGAGATCCAGAAGGCTTGAGGCACAGATGTTTGCAATCTTCCTTTCTTTTGTTTAATCAAAGTGACATTTGCTGAGAGAGAGAGAGAGAGAGAGAGAGAGAGAGAGAGAGAGAGAGAGAGAGAGAGAGAGAGAGAGAGAGAAATATTAGGATGGATAGAGAAAATGTTTGAATTAGAGGAGGTGAAGAGAGACAGGGAATATGAGCACAGGGAGAGAAAATTTTAAGGCTCACTGAAAAAGAATTTAGCCTGGGGTACCTGACTGAGCACAAAGATAGCCTAAGGAACTGGCAGTTACAAGATATGTTAATCTAGTGTAGATGTTGTTGTTTTTTTTCAAAATTAGTTAGACATGTGGACGGAGAACATTTGAAGTTCTGAAGATGTATGCAGTCCTAGCTAAGTGGAAATGAAGTGGTCCAGTTTGGGAAATGGGTGACATGATAGCAGTTTGAAGAGCTGTCACAAAGAAGAAGGGGTCAACCTATTCTACAAAGCACCCCAAGGCAGGGTGGAAACTAATTATGGAGAGATCCAGCCTAGAACTAAGGAGAAATTTCCTGACAGTGAGAACAATTAACCAGTGGAATAGCTTTGCCTTCAGAAGTTGTGGATGCTCCATCCCTGGAGGTTTTTAAGAAGAGACTGGACAGCCATTTGTGTAGAAGGATCTCTTGCTTGAACAGGGGGTTGGACTAGAAGACCTCCAAGGTCCCTTCAAATTCTGTTATTCTGTTATCCTCTCCAGGCGTTTTCCTGATGTTAGAAGCATCCAGGAGCATCTGGCTTTTAGTAAAAAGGCAGATCTAATCTCAAAGACGTCTTTTCAATTTTCTTTTGATTCAGATTAAGTAAAATAATCTACTTTGTGGGGCCAGACAGACAGAAAAAAAAAGAGCAGACATAAAGTGTAGGATATTTTGTAGTAATTAACTATACTTGTTTATATGGTAATTGTACTATATAAACATGAGCAGTTACGAGTTACAAAAGTAGCTCAAAATCAGGAGTATGGTAGCATCTTTTCAGATTTAATTCAAAGGCGTAAGATTTCATGACTGCAGCTTACTTCAGTAAGGAAATGTGAGGTAGCTGATGAAAGCTTTTGTCTTCGAATAAAATGTATTAATATTATAGGTCTGAAAAATGCTATCAAACTCCCTCTGTGTTAGGGCCAGCCTGGCTCTCCTACAAACATAACTAAAACAGTTAATTTTCCTGGATGAAGGGAGCAGAGTTATAAAAAGAAAAGAGAGGGAAGAAAGTAGAATAGAAGGAAAATCCATGTGAATATACTGTAATAAATAGAGTCTACCCCAGTGGCACTTTCCTATGTGCCAATGAGCTTTAAAAATATCGATAAAAGAATACTAGATGTTGGAAAGAGAGAAGAGGGAAAACAGATGAAGATGGATAAGTGAGTCAGTGTTTCTTAAACTTGGCAACTTTAAGATATGTGGACTTCAACTCCCAGAATTCTCCAGCCGGTCCACACATGCTGGCTGGTTGGGGAATTCTGGGAGAATAGAAGTCCACATATCTTAAAGTTGCCAAGTTTGAGAAACATCAAGTTAGATGGACCAGCATGTAATAGATCAGTGGTTCTCAACCTGTTGGTCGGGACCCTATTTGGGGTCGAACGACCATTTCACGGGGGTCACCAAACAACGCAGTCTGCCATTTTTTCCCCCTTTTCCTTAGCTGTGCTACTTCCTTTTATTTTATTGGCTTTTGAAAGCCAATAGAATAGACTCTCTTGAATAGAGTCTAATTCTATTGGCTTTCAAAAGCCAATAGGAATTGTCCAGGCTGTCTCTGCCCTGCTGAGCCCGCCAAAAGTCCCATTCTGCAAATGGTGCTGCACCAGTTGAGTAGTCCTCGACTTACGACTGGTTGAGTAGTCCTCGACTTGCGACCGGTTGGGGTTCGTGGCATTAAAAAGGTTGAGAACCACTGAGATAGAACAGGAAGGGATCCTAGGTGTTATCTGAGCTTAGTTGTTTTCTGGCAGCCATTTCATTACCCAAACTAGGTAATATCATCCATGCTACTCGCTAGAGCACCAAGGATCCCTCATTTCAACCTCGAGCTGCAAATATTCTCCTTTATAGATATGATCTTTTAGAGGCAGAACAAAGCAGCGGGGAGGAAGATTGCAAAATGAATTATAAATTGAAGCAGAATAAGTGAGAGGTTCTGCCTGAGGCTATCAAAATCCAGTAGATAGAATGACATGTGTGGAAAACGGAGAAGGAATTAATAACTGTATTAAGTGTGGTTTGCAATAAGACTTGACTGGGTCTCACACAGGTGAGTAAACATCCTCTTAGTAACAGTACTAGATCTAGTAGTAATAGTCCCCAACTCTCCATTTTTGAGCTCATCTCCTGCTGACTGCAAACTTTCCATAGCAATGACATTTAATAGTTTACCACGACTTATACCGGAATACTTCTTTGCCTTAGTAGTCTGTGGCTTTCCTGGTGGCCCCTCATCCGGGTATTAAAACAGGTCTGACTCTCCTGAGTTTTTCAAAATCAGCCCACCTGGCTGGATCTCCCATCATTCAATCAACATGAACTATGGGAAGTGTTCTTTGCATAAGAGAGCAAAGAGATGGTGTGAAGGGCATGGGGCTTCCTCTGTCAACCCCGGTGAGCTCAAAAGCATTTTTGACACTCTTCTAGGCTTAAACTCTTCTAGGGTTTGTATTATGTATTGAATATATATAAAGTTGTGTTAATCCCTGCTAAAGTGAAACTAACTTAACTCCAACTGCTTGTGAAGCTAAAATGCTGGTCTGCTCCTTGCCTACTGAAGCCCACTACACAACAGTTTTGCTAGTAATTCTTCTGGACTTAAAGGCTGGACTTTAGCTGGCAGCTGTCCTTCCTTCATGATGAGGAGATATTTTAAGTTTAACGGTAAGATGTGTGGACATCAACTCAGAGCTAAGCTGGCTGGAGAACTCTGGGAGCTGAGGTCCATACATCTTAAACTTGCTGAGCTTCAGAAACGCTGTTCCACATGTATGTGAGACTTCTTCCGATCCAGCAAAGCAATTTAGTCTCAGCGGTTAGGAGTATTTGCAAAAAGGTGGGGTAGGACAATAGGGACTCCTCTGTGTAATACTTGCTGGACATCTGGGAGCAAGTGGTTCAGCTTAACTGTCTGGCAAAGGTGTTGCAAAGTTACCATGACTTATTTTCAAATCCATGAAATAAATAAATGAAGCAATGCCTATTGGTTGACCATCATGATGATGATTTGTTACAGTTGCCCCATTCCAGATGGCCCCATGCAGTGCCTCTATGTTCAAAGGCAGTAAACATACTTTGCAAACACTGTATAAAACCTTGAGTCCAGACTGGAGAGGGTCCTCGTGTAATCTGAGGGTAGGGCAGGTGGGCAGGTCAACAGGATACCAAGAGAAGAGAGTCTCTGAGGCTCAGGATTGAACTATGGAGTCCTTGGTGCTCTCTGAGCTTGGTTGTTTTTGTGCAGACGTTTCATTACCTCTCTAGGTAATATCTTCAGTGCAAAAGAGGGTGAGGTTTGCTCTGAAGCACTGAAGATGTCACTGAGCTGGGTAATGAAACATCTGCATGAACACAACTAAACTCAGAGAGCACCATCACGTGATCAAAATTCAAATGCTTGGCAACTGACATGTACCTATGACCGTTGCAGTATCCTGAGGTCACGTGATCCCCTTTTTGCAACCTTCTGCCAAGCCAAATCAATGGAGAAGCCAGATTCACTTAACAACCAGGTTGTTAAGTTAACGACCGCAGTGATTCACTTAGCCACTGTGGCAAGAAAGGTCGTAAAATGGGGCAAAATTCACTCAACAACTGTCTTGCTTAGCAACAGACATTTTGGGCTCCGTTTGTGTTCATAAACCAGGACTACCTGTAATTAAATTTCTCTTCAGCCCCTTTAAGGTCTTACTATCATAGAGCTGGGTCTGGAAAAAAAAACGCAGCACATGATTCAAATGAAGGTAGATCTTGACTTACAACCACTCATTTGGAATAGAATAGAATAGAATAGAATAGAATAGAATAGAGCTGGAAGGAATTTTGGAGGTCTTCTAGTCCAGCCCCCTGCTCAAGCAGGAGAACCTATACCAGTGATGGCGAACCTTTTAGAGACCAAAAACTGGCCCCACCCCTCCTCCACCCCGTCCCGCCCCATCCCATCCCCCACCCCGCCTGCCCGCAGGGCCACTCACCGCCTCCGGGGCTTGCTGCAAATTGCCCAGGCAGCCCAGCAGCACCATGGCGGCCACGCCCTCTGCCCGCGCCCCGCAGCATCAACTCTGCGGGATGGGCAGAGTCTTGTCTATGCTGCCCAGCTGCCATTTCTTGGCTACACTGCTCCGTGTAGGCCACGCTCGGGGGCGACTCTCCTCGGGGGGGCTGCTGGTGAGGAGGGGGTTGTGGGGGGAGGCGAGGCTGGGGCAATGGCATGTGTGCCCACAGAGAGGGCTCCGAGTGCCACCTCTGGCATGCGTGCCATAGGTTCACCACCACTGACCTATACCATCTCAGACAAGTGATTGGATGACAGAGAATCTCCACAGACATCTCAGGGGAATCTACATTATCTTTTCCCCTTTCTACATAGATATTCCATAGTCCTCTACAGGTCAACAACACTGAGAGCGAGACACTAAGCCAGTATTGAGCTGGAAGGGCAAGTCAGTGCCGCAAAGAGACGGCTTCCTATTTCTCTGCTACCACCTAGTGGTCTTCTGGAGTTTTACAGCCCAGTTATGGTAACA